GTTCATTTCATTTTTTTTAGTACAATTTCCTTTTTTCAAAAAAAAAAAACAACAAACAAGTTATTGTGAAAGAAGAGGACAATATATTAAGTCATGATAACACTTGCTAGCACATGTAGCCAATATCAAGATCTGTCACTTAATACTGGTTAGCCTTATACCGAACCTTATAAATCCAATAGGAAATTGTTGGCATGATAATGTTCCATGATCATAGGAATGATTTATCTTTATTCCAATATATAAGATTGGATGACAGTAGCTTGTTTAAAGGTAGGGTAAATTCATAGCTGGAGGTCATTAACAGTAAAAAGAAAGGAAATCATTTATATTTTTTTATTGTATCTTTTATGTTTATTTCTTTCTGCATGAATACATGACAACCAGTCATAAACAGCACAGTGTATGACATCATACAGCCAATACAAACATTCTTTTGCCCCAAATAATATTCTGCCATCTCTCTTGGATCTATAAAACATGCATAAATACACAGAGTCCCCAAACAAATATGATTTTCCTCCTTGTAAAACAACTCTGCAGCAAATATGTCAATAAATCACAGTTTGTAATGATTATTAAGAGGCCAGTTTAACAACATTTTCTAATTTAGTTTTGTGTAAAAATAGAAAAGAGGGTAAGATAGATCAGTCATCTTTAATTTTGGCTTTTCGATTTTACTTTTTCTAATAGTACCGCTGAATTTTCTCTTTCTGGAGAGTTTGTCCTCTTCCCTGTGAGCAAAAAGGGACTGCTTCTACATAAATTAATTATTATTGAGTCCCAAAAATACTGATGTCACCATAGCTCTAGCTATAGTAACATAGAAAAGAGACTGTATCCTTACAAGGTGGTGGGGAAGGGACAATAGTCAGAATTACTTAATTGCAAGTATATGTTCTTAAAGAACATCTTGATTTTATTTCTAAGGATAAAATTAAGGGTGGTTTGGTACTGAAAACATCATACAGGTTCAGATCCAGAAGGTAAGAATTGTTTTGGTCTAAGCTACTAAATTCATTTAACTTTTCTCTGCAGATTGCGATAATTTTTTTTAAAATGTATTTATCCAGGGGTAGTTTACAAAATAAAAAAAAAGAAAGAAAACAGTCTGTTTTGCAAATTCAATCTCAATCAATCAACACCCTTTGACTTCCAAGCTATTTCGTGTATATCTAGGTTTGTGCAATTAATCCTTTAATATTTTCAGTTTCTAAAAATAAAGCCTCACTTTGGAATAAATAATATAGCTCATAAGTTTTTTTTAACATTTTAAAATATATTCACTTTCAGGTTTACAGGAGGCAAAACAGTGACAATAAAGTGCACAGAAATAACTTATACACTAAATTATATGTGCAGCTAATGCATGTCTAAAAATCAGAGAAGAAATTTACTGAGTAAAACAACATCACTGACTGCTGAAGAAAATGTAAGCTTAAGCATGCTTTCACTCATATTCTTTTTTGTATATCAAAACGAAATATTTTCAACATTGTTTTATTTTCATATTACATATTTATGATATGTTATGAGTGACATGCATTTATGGAAGTGTAGTAAAATGTGCATGCTTCAGCTGCCAAAACCATATATTTTACTAGCTTTGGTGGATAATTACACCTCCCACATAAACAGGCTTATCAGGACGACACTTTGTGCTCTTCTCAGTCAGTTCATGACTGTAAAACATTCTGTTGTTGTTCATTTGGTATTGTTTATTAATTAAATGGTTAATTGGGAGTACTGAGCGCTTATGGGTGCATGATATGCAATGTTATTCTTAAATTACTATTGTTTATGTAAATCTTTTAATTTAGTTACTTTTATAAAGGTGTTATCACATTTTCTACACTAATATGAAATATATAATTATGGTTGGAATGTACATGTTTTATCAGTTAATTCAGTTTGATATGTTTCTAAAAAGCATAAAATATTTTTACAGTTCACATTATCTTCTTTACTTCATTCTCACAGTATACTAGATGAACATTTTGAGTCAAATGTTGATATGACTATACAATGCGATGCACCTACAGATAATTCAACTATTGAAAGTTTGTAGTCTAAAGTCTCTTTTATTCTTTAAATAAAATTCTCTAAGTGTAAAATCCGTCTTTGACTCCAGATACTTTAAGATACAAAAGTGTTTGTTTTTTGTAAAGGTTTGTAAAAAGGATTAAAATAAACTCATCTATTAAGAAGGTAGCATAATCTGACAAAGAGATGTTTGAAGAGTCCATCTTTAGTGTAGTTATTATCATTTAGAATAGAATAGAAAATCTCTTTATTGTCCCACGTTGGGGAAACTCTGTTAATTTGATCTAACCGTAAGTATTCCAGTTTAATCAGAATGGCATGCTCATTAGATGAATGATGCTGGAAAAATCCTTTTGGCCTCTACCATTATAAAAGCAATAATTTCAAGTCTGCTGACCCTTAACTGTACCTGTGTGCTTAGGTCAGATGAGACAAATACAGTATAGAGCTTTTCTGCAATAAAACAGTCCACTTTGTTCCTGGCAAAATATAAAATATATAGTTATCCTGGAAGGATAACTATATATTTCATAGTTTCCATGGTGAAGGAACTATGATGCCTGTTTCTCTCCTTAATGCCATGGAAATTTTTGTTATTCTTGCAGTGCATCAGGACTCTTTAGAAAATAGTGTATTTTTTCTCAAATTTGGTGGACTCTACCCTAAGCTAAATTTTGGTTCTACTTTGGTCTCAACTATCACAGTCAATGGACCCAAATCATCAGAAACCCTAAAGGGTGGGAAAAGGAAAGTTTAATTAAAACAATAAACTTTTTTTGATGAAAGTAATAATAACATTTAAATCTGATAAAAATCCAAGTAGGAAGCTTTACATTAGTAAGATAACTTGGAGCTCATTACGAAGGATAAATGGTCAAACAAAATGCCAGGTAAGCAAGCCAAAGGCCGCTCAGTATTTGTGAGATGGGTTTGGATGCCGTTGTACCAACAAGGATTTTTCCATTGCATATTGAAGAAAGCATTATCATTATTTTCTTAAATATTTTCATTAAAATCTGAAATCTCCTTACATGTGAATTATATTTTCTCTAATACATATTTATTTAAAATAGATATAGTTTTTAAACTATTATTTTGCAGCATGCTTACCCTAAAAGAAGCCACATAACAGTATAATACTTTTTTATAAAACTTTACAAGTGGGGCCAACAAATTTGTCAACATCTCTACCTGCCTTTTTGGAAAAAAATACCCTAACTTCGAAATTTCATGGATGGAGGGGGGAAGCCATAATATCATTTTATAAAATATTATAATTTTAGCAGAAATATATATATTTATGTGTGTGTGTGAATTAACCGTTTGTATTAAATCTCATAAAGTGCTCTGAACCATAGCTCACGTAATATTAGCCAGTGCAGTTATTCAGTAAAAACATATAAATGCATCACTAACCTCTTGCCATCAGCAACGTACAACATAACAAAGGCAAGTAATTAAAGTGACAGTGTAGTAATACAGGGTGTTTAGGCAAATACAGAAAGTTGTAGTTATTTCCTATGATTGTTTTAAGCTCTGCTGCTGACTCTGGCAATATCATGAAAATGTAATCTTCAAAGCTTCTATATAAGACACTGTAAACCCTAGAATTGTTATTATATTCTCCGTGTTGATGTTATATATTTTTAAGATTTCAAAGTTATTAAGTCTATTGCACTTTAACAACTAAAAGACTCCAACAGTTAAAGTACAACAATGTAGCATAATCAAAAACGTGTTAACAGTAGATATTACAAATGTCATTAGCTGCATTAGTGCTTTTTCCTGGGACAAAAAAGTCTAAAAAAGGCTTCTGATTTGTCAAAAATTCACCATTGTTTGGAATGTTTGTGATTAATCTCTGGCGGAGACTAAAGGAGACATTACAGACACATGTAAACATAGTTTGGCTGAGTTGTTAAAGCAACATTGTGTAACTTTTAGCAACGATGGTCGCGAGACCTGTAACCTTTGTGAACAGTTAACCTTTAGAAATTAAAAAGAATCCATATTGTTCCACTCCCACTTCAACTGTTTGAGATTGATCCAAAAACAATTTGCAGATCAAATATTATGGTTTAAAGCAGGACATATAGCTGTGACAAAAGAAGAAGCTGCCGAGCCTTGAGTCGAAGCAAAAACAACATGGCAGGGCAGGAGGACCTACATGTAGCTGCTGCTATCACCACTGTTTCGTATGAATTTCAGAATTTTCCATTATTATCACTGAATTTAGCTTTAACTAATCCGCTCAGAAGGCTCTGCTGAATGTCATCCCTTTCCCTGATTTGATGGGAGCAGTACCAGGTGGATAATGTGTCGAACTAAAACTTAGTGCAACACATTATCAATCTGGTTTGCCAGGTTAAGGTTTAGCAACCATAAAATGAACTGCCAACTCTGCCCTGTTGCGAAAGCAAACAACATCCCTCCACATTCTGGAATCTGATAGCAGACCACATTGGGCAAACATATTGAGAAGTCATCCAGTTACTTGTGTTGACAAGGTCAAATTTACCCCTCTAGATTAAATCCTACATACATTGAACCAAAAATATGTCTGATCAGGTAAGTGTCATATCTGTTTTGAGCCTAATAACATTTTTTTAAGGAATAGCTCTCATGTTTAGGGGGAGCTCGGACTGCTGTTGCTGCTGACTCATTTACTGACAGATCAGACTACTCAAGTTGCAAAGGCACGTTTTTGAGAAGGGCAGAGCATCGAAATTTGCCAAGAACTGTAAATTGATCTGCAATATCATTAGATGCATCTTAAATGAAGCTAATACTTGAGTTAAAACGTACTCAGTGTTGCTTTAAAAAGCTGCTGATCAGCTGCCATTGTGGATGTTACATGTCTCCTAACTGCATTAGCTATGACTAGGAGTGAACTCTGGGAAAAAGGGCAGGGTTAAAAACAGTGAAGGAAGAATTGGATCTGTGTTAATGTAAATTTAAAATATCAAAGTTTTTTCTTCACCAGCCTATTTACCATACATTAATAAGTTTACAGAAATGTAATTGCTTTTAATTTTCATCCTGTTTTTCTAAAAAAAGTTATTAGATCTAAAAAGATTGTTTAAAAACCGTCTATGATGACTTAAGCTGACATTTTTACCACCAAAAATTGTAGCCTGCTTTGTAAATGCCTATTTTTTATGAAGCACTTTAAAAAAATGATCACTATTCGATAAACTGTTGTTCTTCATTTGTCTAAATGTGTCCTTCACCTTTTAATATAATGCCTCTGGCAATGCTTATAGCTGTTAACTATTAAAAGCATAAGATATAGTTCTGTTCATTGGGATCATTACTAATAACTTCCCTGTAGATTTGCCATTTAATTGTTTTCCGGTTTTTAACAGCTTTTAACTTAATATACACTTTTATTTGCCTTGAACTACCCAATAGCCAAAATGCTGCATGGATATCACTAATGCCTGTTGATTCATATTCTACACATACAAAAAAAATCATACTGGAAGCACTTTGCCATCATCTAATGGTTGGAGTTTTGCAACACTGTATCTAATTTATAAAAATTGCAATATATATTTAACAATATATATTGTTTAATAACAATATTATTGTTTAGAGATATTGGGTGTAAAATAAAAATGTGGCTAATCATTTAAGGTTATTCTACCATGCAAACTTGCTGGGTACTACCTTGTAAACGTGGACATGGCAAGAATGCGTATTCTTATTGATCCAATCTGGAGATTAAAATGAACTAATTCAAGAGTTGTACATCCCTGATTTGTTAAAGAAAATAAAAAAGAAAATCTAAAAGCGACCATTTCTGGTGGGGATGGATGAATATCCACATGTACATCGATACATTCATACAAACAATATTTCCCTCGGTGCACTGGGCACACACAGACCCGTTTGGTCAGTGATGATTTGAGCAGTGGTTACTATAGCATCTGAAGGAGGGGGTGCACATTTCTGTAAGAGAACAGAGGAAAAAATTATGTGATTTTGACAATCACTAATTTTGTGTACAAGAATTTGATGCACCTTCTGAAATCAAAACCAAGATTACATCAAACAAATACAAAACACAACAAGAAACGAATCTACAATATGTTTATGATGATTCATTCCATTTATTTACCATGGATGGAGATGATGATCCATAGATGCTGGTTTAGGTTACTATGGTAATCTAAAATAGAGGGAAAGAAAAGCAAAATATACATTTTAAACAGTAATGTGCTATGTTCAAAGCACTCTTCTAAATGTCCCTGTATAAGAAAAACTAAATTATATAATATATTTGTAGACCCAAAGGCAAATGTAAAAAAAAAAAAAAAACTCTCCTACTGTCTTCAGAATGGGAAAAAGATTGAAAACGTTAACATATAAATGGATTCAATTTATTCATAATGTTTCCAACTGCTAAAACTACTCCTTTTATTGGGCTACATGCAACCCAACGGGACAAGGAAGCCTATTGGTTGCTTAGAGTAGCAGAAAAGTTGTTTTAAGGAATCTTGAGGTCAAATAGGTCTGGCCAAGTCTAACTTTTAGGGTTTATGTTTTATTTGGAAAGTATAGGCCTACGTCGTCTTTTGAAACAGCTGAAAATAAACTTTAAACTTTGTCACTTTATAACAAAAATCTTCAAACCTACAGTGCACGAACCTGTAATTACATGTTTGGTAGTAACAAATCCAGAAGGATTAGGTCATGTCATGGACAGAAATGGCTTGAAAAAAAATATTTTTTTATTAAAATTAAACTGCTTTAGTTTATAAATTGAAATGTTATATCCAGATTATCTTACTTTGTTCCCTCTTCTGCAACAGCTTCAGGCTCGAGCTTTCCCTCCTCCTCCATCTTTTCCTCTGAAATCAGTTCTTGCTTTCGATGTCGACGAAGACATTTCACAACCACCATTGAGAGGATCAGAAGAGCCAAAGCTCCTCCCACTGATGCCCCAATAGCAACAGCAATGGTTGAATCTCTTGGAGGGGGAACTAGAGGGAGGAGAGGAGAGAGTTAACTTTTGAGGTAGACAGAAAATGGAATCAAGTGCAGTGCTCGCTAAAAGCTCTGATTAAACAAGTGGAAAGAAAGTGCTGCTGAGTTAGCCTGTGTATGACGTGGGTTTATGTGAGTACCGGTGTGTGTGTGTGGGTGTGTGTGTGGATGAGCGAGAGTAAAGCTAAGTTCAACCTCTTGTTGGTCATTAATAAGTAAAACGCTAGCTCATCACAAGTAGATCCCAACAGTCTAAGAAAAACACACACCAACATTCACCCACTACGTTTGTTACCTAGATTGCTATTTTATCAAAATTAATTCACTTTTTTTTTTTACATGATCTGTTTGTAGATTTGATTCTAGGAGCAAAGCCTACTGATAAAAAAACCCAACAACAATGATTATTGTCGATTTATTGGGCCATATAAATAGATTTTAGGGTCAGGGGCGTTCTGTTGGCTTTGATCACTCAAATGAGTTTATCATTTTAAAACTGAATATACCTCGTTTATGTATGCGCTATTAACCTGTCAATTTAGCAGAATTTAGAATAAATTTAAAGGAGGACCACAATACTATTTCCACATTATTGTAAAAATTAAGTTCTTCAGAAATAATTGAAATTCACAGTAAATTGACATGCATTTATCCAACTTGTTCAAATAATTTAGTGTTACCGTTCTTGCAGAGTACAATTAGTTTTCCTCTAACCCTGTACATTTCCTGCAGATCTTTTAATAGTATCTCCTAAAAGGAAGCAAAGGTTTAAAACCAGGGGTCAATACTCCACTGTTGGTCTAAAAGGGGATATATGTAAAGACAATGAATCTTAAAAATGAATCCAAAGGAAAAAAAAAAAAATCTTCTAATTGTGACCAGAGGTTGAAACAACAGCCATAAAATGTAAACAAATGTGTAGCAAATTTTTTTTTTAATTGTCATCTAGTCTCAATATCTGTTTGTACTATTTATAATTGCTGGAGATGTAAGCCTCTCCCACTTAGATTAAAGCCTTGGGAAATGTAGTAGAAGAGGGTAATGCTTTTTTTGTGGGCCGAAGAATTTTTAAAATCTTACGTTCTGTGACCACACTGAATTTAATGACACCATGTCCTTGGATGCGATCTGGAGGGTTCCTCACGTAACAATTGTAAATCCCCTCATCCTCAAGTTGAACATCCGTTAGCTTGATTGATAAGTCGTTTTTATCCAAGGTCCCAGAAAACTCCACCCTATCTCCGAAGCGGTTCAACGGCACTGGTTGCATTCCTTTTTTCTTATCATAAGTCATGAACTACGGAGGGAGAAAGCAAAGCTTAAATCTGGGTTAAAACTGTAAAGCTGATTATTCCTAGTTTTAAGGATTAGTAAGCTTACCTTCTCCTCTGTGCTGTTCAGGCTCTCTTGATACGTCCAATTCATAGCAAACTTGGTGAGGTCAATTTTATAGCAGGAAGTGAAGGTGCAGGGGATTATGACAGTTGTTCCATTGAGTGCATTGATGTAACTGGGCACTATCACATCCATGCTTGAACAACCTGTTTAGAAACACAAAACACCCGAAAAAAACAAGATTAACTAAGCTCATCATAGTAAAATATTTCTTTAAGGCAAGGTACCCTTTGAGATGCATGCTATTAACAACCATGTACAAATGGCTAACATTCTAAACAATTAATTATGTGTCACTAAAAATCGTAATACAATATGGACAAACAGTTAAAATACCTATTAAGTAAAAGCCTAGCAAAGAAGCTTCAATTTAGGAGGATGTTTGTCTTTGCATATTTGTCCTTTTTCAAACTCCCATTAGTTGAGTAATTCCTCTCTCTTCAAACGAAAGTTGCAGTCCAAGACTGATAGTAGGAAGGGTGGAATTAATTTTTTTTATCCTGAGGAAATAGTTTTCTGAGCTGTGTAACGGGATGAGATGAAGGGATTAAGTCTTTATGATCAATATGGGCAGGAACACAAGTTATAGGATGAAACAAAAATAACTGTTTAAATGGATTAACCAATATCCTAACTAAAGTATCCAGAAAAGCTTCAAATAGTAGTAGAAAATAAAGTGCTTTTTTTCCCTTTAGGATATGAAGCAATTTAATAAATAATGAAGCATTGTAACTAACTTGATTTTGCGACCTAAATGTCTGACTTCCAATTTATTACACATAATAATTTAATAAACTAAAAAGAATGTTGAACTACCAGGAAAAAGTACTATTACTGTCTCTACACAGCCCCCCAACCTCCAACAAGGGTCCATATCCTCTCTCAGCTGTGTTGTTTGTGTGTGATGGGACTCTGCACCAATCTTTCCTCTGCAGTCAAGTGTTTCTGGCTCCCTTCCCACAGCTGCTGCAACACTCCATAGGCCTGCATCTCTGCACCACACACTCACACAAACCCTTTTACTTACCCTATCCCTTCTCTATCTCACACACTCTCTCATATATATATATATATATGTATATATATGCACACTTCAAGTGTTTTCTAAAACACACATCTACCGTTCTCTCCAGTCTGCATCAGCTGCAATTAGCTCACCTTTGTTAGTGTGCAATGTCAATGTCATCCTTGCAAATTAACCAATATGTATATACACTTCACAGAGATGCATTAAAGTAAACACATCTGTTGGCATTACAAACATATATTCCCTTGCTACAGACAGTCTAGCTCAGCTATACAACGAAAGAAACATTTTTGTACAGACTACTGTTCCTGCTGACTCAGCAGTCATGTGGCTAGTAAAAAAGAGAGGCAAATGCAGAGACTGCCTAACAGATGAAATACTGCAGTGAAGCACCCTCATGTGGCTCCTCCCTCCCTCTGCCTCTCCCTCTTTGCTCTCCCAACTTTGTCCACCTTCCTTGCTCCATCCCACCTCCTTTCCTGAGAGATCCACTTTCTAAGCCCACACCCAAAAACCACACACACACAGACACTAACACAATCCATTACAATCCTAACTTTAAAGAAGTTTCCCCATTTCTATTGCTTTCACTTACCTTAATGAGTTCAAATGTGTCAGAAGACAGGGCAGGCACATTTCTTACATTTTTTATTGATTTTAAAACAGAGCAAATACACAACATACAATGACAACAGTTTTTTACAGTGTGAAATTGTACCATAGCTTAACTGTCCCAGTATGACATTTTACAGTTTCAGCATCATAATTGAGGTCACAACTTCACTATACAAACCTAGCACAATAATTCACCTCAGATGGCAGTTCTATGAAACATAATCTAGAAAAATATAAAATAAAAACTGAGTTGTAAGACTTGTTTACTTGAGTAAATCTTACACAGGACCCCAGCATTGGCTGACATGTCTTTTTGAAGTCTTAACGAGTACTTTATCTTTTCCATTTGGTATAATTCCCTTACAATTTGGACCCATGAGTTATAGGAAGGCGATTCTGGTTGCTTCCACTTAATTATGATGCATTTCAGGGCCGCTGTAAGAAGAACATTTAAGAGATATGATTTGGCTCAACCTTGCAGCCCAACTGGAAAAATACTGAGTATTGCAGTTGTTACATCCTTTGATATAACCTCCTGAAAGATTTGGTTTATAGCCTTGTACACATCACCCGAGAGGTTTTGCAATTTGGGGCCTGACCAGAACATATGTGTATGACTGGGGAATGCAGAGCCACAGTTTCACCAACACAAACTTTATACTTTAGGATCCATCTTAGCTACTATGTCTGGAGTCCTGAAATATCTGCTGATAATTTTCCATTTATATTCCGCCATTTATTTGAGCTTGTAACTCGATGTGCCTCATTCCAGACTTCTTCCCCCATATCATCAGAAATACTTTTGGCCGTCTCTGCCTCCTATCTTTGTTTTGCCCAAATGGGTCCGCTATACTGTTCATGGACAAAAACATATTATATAATTTTTTGATCAGCCTCTTATCCCCTTCACCTTTTTGGAGTTGAATTAGTAATTGGTCTATTGGCGTGGGGTTTAGGAGTCTTTCCCAGTTCCTGTGTGTAGACAAAAAGGAACGCAACTGTAGGTATCGGAAAAAATCTTTTTTTGGAGATGAAAATGCCCAGGCAAGCACATTTCATTGTCTTTTAGATCAGAATTCTTCATATCATTTTCACTGTAAGTGATAACACTGGTAAATATGTATTTTTTTATTTCAATAAGCAAATTTTGAGCCCTTACATTCCAATTAACCTTGAAAGGTCAAAATCGAGATAAAAAAAAAAACATAACTTCAGGCATTCCAAAAATAAAAAAATCAATAACCTGGACTTTGTTTCAAAGTTTGAAGACGTGTTGCTTCCCATCCAGGAAGCTTTTTCAATTCAAAATGTCAGAGAGCATTGAGTTCGAAGCGTTCTAGAGCTTAGAAATCTATATAAGCTCTGTAAAGATTTATAGAAGCTTTATAGAGCTCAGAAAACATGCAAATTGAACCTGAAAAACGGGCTCGCCCCTTAGGAATGGCAACTTATTTGGGTTTATTGTTAGCCTGCAATACTCGATACTGGTCTATGCCAGACACTAAGTCTGACATTTTGAATTGAAAAATGCTTCCTGGATGGGAAGCAAAATGTCTTCAAACTTGGGAATAAAATCCAGTGGATTTTATTTTATTTTTTTTACTTTTTTGGAATGACTATGACCTGGATAACTGAGAATCTTCACCAGCATAAACACCTTCAGTTATCTCTAGACTTTTTGATCAAAAAGACACAGAATACCATCGGATCTTAAACCAGTATTAGTTTATAGGGAAACTGGATGCCAGACCAATTAGTCTACTTCTGTGACTCAACAACAGCTTGTCCCCAACTTAACTCATAGCTTAACTTTTTCACTTTAACTGAAGTGCATGCTGATAATATTCTCTTCCAATAAGATTCATAGGTAGACCCATTTACCAATCAAATTACGAAGGGTTCACTACTGTGTTAACGACAAAAAAGAAGTTTCGAAAATACATTTTAACCAGGGACCTAATAATCTATTCAGGGGAGTGTGGAAGTCAACCTGCAACTTCCTTTAAACCATCTATTGCAGTGCTTAGAAACTCACAGCAGCTAATTTATGTTAGCATTAGCTGACTGGCTGCTCTTTAGATCCAATGTAGTAATGACGGATGCTCTGCAGAAACAGCTGGCTGACATGTTTGAAGCAAATACACACCAGGATTGCTGCAATAAGGTGCATCATCACTTTTGAAATCTGCACAGCCTGGGTTGGTTGCAGTGATGTGTACCAAGACTGAACAGAGCAAACCACTTCTGAAAAGGGTAGTTATATCAGTAGCAATGAGGGCTGTAGATAACACAGTATTCATCAAATACTCTCCACTGCATTTAATTCATTAGGACTGGATTTGTCTTACATATCTTAGCCAAACACTATTTTCACTCTATGACACGATGCTCTACTCTATATTTTTGAAGGTCAAATGTATGTGAGGCATGGCTTGCTGCACTGATACTTTAGAAAGGACCTTTGGCATACATTTATATACACTGTAAAAAAAAAAAAAAAACACCAAAAACTTTATGTCTTTATACTTTTGACACTAAATACAAGTAAACATCCCCTCTTTAAGGTCAGACTAAAAATATACTCCTTAAGGTTGCCAACATTCGCACTTTTGATAAAACCTAAAATAACAAGCGAGAGATTTGGGTGTTTTGTTATTTTCTTTTTTTTCTTTTAGCTTTCTGATGTTAACATACACTAAGGGACATTTTTTTTGAAGATTCCAAAATGAAGATATCGTGAAGGTTTTCATAATGGTTTAATAATGCATTATTTCTAATAGTCCTAATATGAGCCAGAAACGTACATGTTCATAGACTCTCTCTTTTGTGTATTATTTTAGCAAAGACACCTTCTTTGTACAATGACCGCATATTTCCATGTGTTAGCTTGCACCCAACGCTCAAATACCTGGGTTAAATAAAGATTCATAACCTGCCCCTGCAATTGTTTTTTCGGTTTGATAAATCAAATTTTGGGGAGGTTAATATTTACATATGCATATCTTCCCCCCAGGATTTTTCAGGTTATTGTCACCAATATAAATTCTGCATATTCAGTAAGGCAAAAATGTTAAAACATTTTAAACCTCTTGTCTACACAATTCAGCTTACACTGGTTAATAGATTGGTTTTTTATATGCTATCAAGTTTGCTTGTGTTTTAATGCACCCAAACATGTCCAGGATCTGGATTACTGACCGACATTAGGAAAACGAAACAAGGTTATACCTTTTGTATTTGTAGATATGTTGCTTCAGAAGCTGTTTCTAATCAACTTTTCTTCATTTACCTTTTCTGGTACATTTTTGGTCCCTGAGCACACTGAAAAACAGTTAAGTCAATCACTTTTGCTCCTCAGATGTAACCATCTCTGGGTATCCATTAGTATCTTTTTAAATGTGTGATTAGAAAAGGTATTTATAATCAGATTTATGAATTGTGTTTTTAAATCTTCATTTAGAAATAGGGTTTGAAAATACATTTACAAATTTTTGTGTTAATTATGGATTAATACATACCATTTACACTTCTTCTTTAATAATCCAATTTAGAATGTATAATTAGAAAATGCTTTTGAATTTAGATTTAAAAATGGACAATTTAAATTTTACATTTGGAAAGGCTGTTTTTCTTTTTCAGTAACTCTCTAGATCCTCCATACACAATAAGTTCTTAAAATTGGGCAGAAAATGTTTCTATAATCTTGGTTACACAAATATATCACTTCGACATACTGGCAGGTTAGAAATAATTAGTTTTTAAAGCTTTTTTATACTGTCACAAAAAAAAAATCAATTCAGTAATACATCTCAATACTATCAAAGATATTTTTTAAAAGAAATTTGCTGCCGAGTGCCAGAAAGCTTGGCATGAGTCACAGGTCATGGTTCTTGTGAGAATTGCCTTAAAAGTAAAGGGTGTCAAATTTTTTTTTTCTGGCCTGTTTCATTAGTTTATGTTTTTTATATAATTTATATTAATTATTACTTTGCTTATTTCTTTTAATAAGCAAGGGCTCACAATCCAAAAAGTTCTCCCACACACACACTGTCCAACTTGCATAAGAAGACATTGATCTCTAAACTCTTTATTTCCGTACTACACCTTCATCAGTTAAACTCAGATTTTACTGAAACGTTGCAAATAAATGATCCTTTTGCTCTCATGTTATATAGATGTGCAAAGTGCTCCAATTAAACAGAGGTACTAATATGTGTATCTATAAAATATAATGCAAGATAGGGCTTTCAATCATTCGTTTGGATTAAGTCATGTTCCTCACAGCTGTTGGTTTGTATTTAGAGGCCCCCATGGACAGTGGGTCCTGAGGACCGAGTTTGAAAAACCACTGAGCTAGAAAATTGTGCAGCATCATATAATTCAATGTCATTTTGTAAGCCTGGCCTCTATGTTGTTTTTTTAAGCATTTGATATTAATAACTACAGAAAACAGAATACAAGGTAAGTCTCTCTAAATAAACCTACAAAAGTTACACCACATAACTGTCTCATGCAAAGCCCTTGGTGTTGTCAATGTACATATGCTCCCTGTCATTCTCTAATTCCCAATTCCAGGTACGATAGAAAAAGTTTTTTTTTTTTTTTTGGAAATAACCCATTGTTAGTCATAAAGGCAAAAAAAAGGCTTGGATGACCTTTAAGAAGTGCATCATTCCCAATGATGTGAACATATTTAAAGTGACTTGCTGCTATTATTTTTACTGACTCCGCCAATCTCTTTGTGATGCTGCCCTCTAGTGTTTTCTAGTAAGAACTGTGACTTTGCTGTTGCTGAGCAAAGTTAAAGGGATAAAAAATTTTAAATCATACAGCTGCATGGCACATTGTTCATTGGCAAAGACTATTTATAACTGTTTTCAAGTAACACTAAAACTAAAAGTATGAAACATAAATAAATACCAAACAGTCTTGAAAACCTTATATAATACAAACCGTATAGAAAGTGTACCTATATTTTAAACAGGAAGTTGGCACTACTTTTTGTTTATGAGCTAAATGTTAGTATACCAAGGTCTAAAGGTTAAACGTACGTTTGGCAGATTGATATTTGTGTTCTGAATGAACAGTAAAGAAGTTCTTTACTGTATCTCTGGATCCAAGTCATCATTTAATGCTGATTATGTAAGAGAAGAGACATAACAGTCTTTAAATTGTTTTTAAAAAGTACATAACCTTAGTCATTCTCAAATAATTAAAAAGTTTTCATCTGATGATTATTTTTCTGTCTTGAAAATATCAATAATTTTCATTCGTTTTCATTTCAGCAGGTACTAAACATAGTTAGGGCCACATTTCTGTATTGTCGTATTGGTCACATTTAATATAATCATAAAGGTCCTGTTTTCATTGTTGTAATTGGTATAATTAATAGAAATAAATTTACTGAGTTAAGCAGGTTACTGAAGTGAAAATTACCCTTTCAAAATTATTCTGATTTATTAACTGGGTTTGATACGGGTTTTGATGAAGAAAAAGACCACGGTATGTTGATGTAGAAGTTTTTCAGCTAAGAGAACGCTTGCCTTTTTTTTTTTGTTTCTAAGTCAAAGTTTTTTTTTTCTCTTGACTTCTTTTTTTTTAGTAATCTTTTTATTGACTTCACCTAATAAATTCATTCTTTATAATAATAATAATAATAATAATAATAATAATGAATTTTATTTATAATGCACTTTACATTTGACTTCAAATCTCAAAGTGCTACATTAAAAAAAGGAAAATTAAAACAAGTTTAAAAGACCATGTATCCACATTCACAGTGGAGAGATGTTTTTACTGCTTAATACTTTGGCAGAGTAATAAATTTTTAACGTAAGCACTTTTCTGCAACTTTTGTGTTGTCAGCTTTCTCCTCCCTTTTTTGAAATGAAAATGTTTCCAGTTACAGGCCTGAACACAAAATCAAGTAGGAAGTTATAGAAATATCCATCCATCCATTTTCTGTCACACTTATCCCAAGTGGGGTAACAGGGTGTCTGGTACCTATCTCCAGCTGTCTAAAGGCGAGAGGCGGGGTTCACCCTGGACAGGTCACCAGTCCATCGCAGGGCAACACAGAGACAACAGGTCAAACAGCCATTCACACACTCACTCCTAAGGATAATTTAGAGAAGCCAATTAACCTAACAGTCATGTTTTTGGACTGTGGGAGAAAGACAGAGTACCCGGAGAGAACCCAAGCATGCTCAGGGAGAAAATGCAAACTCCATGCAGAAAGACCACAGGCCGGGAATCAAACCCGGAACCTTCTTGCTGCAAGGCAGTAGGGATAACCACTGCCACACTGAGCAGCCCTATAAAAATATGATCAACATAATTTCAAATGTGGTTGAAAAAAAATAGCCATTTATCACCTAATGTTTATCAGACTGAAAGATAGACTGGGCAAAGGGCTTATTAAAATGTTTAGTGAATAATAAACCCAGCAAGTAGCTTTTAATGGCAGTTTATAAAGTTTAATTATAGTGCCTTGTTATCTGGCCAATCAAAACTGATTGAGTTCCAATCAACATTTTTTGTTGTAGATTTATGTTGTGGTTTTAATCTAATTGTATTTTTCAAGAGTAAGAGATAGTATCACAATACCTAGGTTGAGTGGTTGTTTTGTGGTTATTAGCATGGTTCTGTCAATCAGTGGATTACTTAATAATCTGGGTAGAGTCCCATTCAGTCTTGGTTATATCTACATATGATAGTGCATGTTTAGTGTGTTGATACACTGTGATATTCCAAGGGATGTATGTTATGTAAGGGTTTGGATCATTGATTCACGGTGATCTGCCATTATAGAACATTATGCCACTGACCATGTAGGCTTAATTGTATGCTTTGCATCATAAGCGCGTTTAAAGCCATGCTGATTCATTTAGATTAAATAAGGTGTAATGTTTATAGGGTCCCTTCCTGCAAACGTAAATCAGCTCAGTTGATACCAGACAGGATAAGGTTTTAATTGTGGCCTTAAGAAAATAAAATTAAATAAATAAAACCGGTTATTTTGGTTGCATTGTTTCATATTACATCAAGCCCCCACGCTTCTGTTGGTGCCGCATAGCCGTGTTTCTGATGCACATTGACTGCTTTTAGTGGAAAAAAGAGTTTTTTTGCACGGCCTCATACAGGCTAATTGTTCCGCGCAGGTTTGGCTGTTTTTGCGTCTTACCAGAGAGCGAGAGCATCATCAGCAGCAGCGCGCTCAGCAGCTGAACGCCACATCTCCTCTCCTGTTCGGGCGAAGACATGATTTTCATCCTTCCCATCAAAGTCTTCTTATATGCTTATGAAAAACTAATTCAACAGAACTCGATGTACCAAAAAGATCGATGATGGAACGAACGTTTAAAAGCTAAAAAAAAAAAAAGGAAATGCACAATATTTGTTATTTTTCTGAGGCAGGACGTGGCTGGCAGTGTCTGTAGCCGTGCAACGGTTGATCTTATGGATGTCGGTCGCTTGGTTGGTGTAGAGAAGGAGAGAGAACAGAGAGCTGATTTTAAGATGGATGCTGTCTCTGCCTGGATGTTGGAAACACATTTTTTGAGGAATTGAGGAGATTTTCTGGAACTCGGTGTTACACCATACACTCTTTAAACAAGTATTTACATCTATGTCAAATCAACATCTTAGAGTGTTGACTGTTTTATAAAAAACAAAACAACATTTTGAATGGTTTTTCATAGTGTTTTTAATTGTAAGATATACTATTTTTTATTTTCTTTTTGGCAAAATAACACTCTTTATTGTATTTTCTTTTATAAGCCTCCCAGTCAAAAAAGGTTAAAAGACATTTTGGGGGAAGTTACATACTTAATCCTAAAAGAAGGTTACCCATTAAAAAAATGTTGTAAAAATAAAAAAACTGTATGAAGTATATGAACATATGGTGGTGAAGGTTCCCAGACATCCAGGTCATAGCCATTCCAAATCAATGAAAGACAGTGCGGTACAATTACAACTTATAGACAGAGGGCATTCTGTTGAGGACCAGAATGTTCACATGTTGGATAAAAAAAAAAGGTGGTTTGGGAGGGGTGTGAAGAAAGCCATCTATGTTAATAAAGAAAAACAACCCTCAACATAGGGGGAGGACTCAGGTTCCAGCTTGCTAAAACTTTCAATGCAGCTATTGATTTAATCCCTTCCTGTTACAGTATCATCGCAGCCCCACCCCCTGTACAGGAGAGCGGAGGACCATGTCTATTCAGCCAGGCCAACAATCCCCTTTAATGTCCGACATCTCAGACACTTAGATGGGTATGGAGCATTGCAGTCTAACAAAAGAAGGAAAACATCCCCCAGTCCAAATGGGTGGACCCCTTCATCTGTTCCAATTCGCATGTTTTCAAAACAAAAACAAGACTTTGTTGGGGTACTGTATAAAACCTCAAACTCAACGCTATTCCAGACATTTTTAATTGAAAAGGCTTCCTGGATGGGAAGGGAAACGTCTTCAAGCGTGGAAACCAAGTCTAGTGCATTGTTTTTAGTTGTTTTTTTTGGATATATATGAATGTATTTTGTTTTGTATTTGTTAACACAAAATTATATGATAAATTAAATGGTATAACTTAGGTGATCAGATCAATTGAAAAATAAATAACAGACAAAACAAGATCATATCGTGCATGCTTGTTAACATATTAAAATATGGAATATATTAAATGATAATGAAAAAAACATAGCATACATTAAAACCTATCAAAACTCTGCTGTGACCTATTGATAAACAGCAAGTAGCTTTAACTGTGGTTATGCAGCTTGCTCAAGTATTTACATTTATGTCAAATCAAAATCTTAGAAATGTTGACTGTTTGATTAAAATTTAAAGTGCTTCAGAAATGAATGGATGGACACAAATGATAAGTGTGTTTTAGTTTCGTATATTAGTTTGATAAAACTATTAAAATAATCATCAATTTTAATATTTTGTAAAATTGCTTTTAATCGTTTGACTTGGAACAAACAGTTTGGATGTCATTCATCAAGCGTCTCACATTTCTAGTATTTCATGGAATTGTATCCTTTGGAAGAAGCATTTATTTAGAAAAATATACTCCAGGTTAATGTTTTCATAAGATTCTTTTTTAACATTTCCACACACTAGTTATTCTTATTTTCTAATCTCATCATGCAAACTATTTCCAGAGGTGTACTTTTTACCCAGTCTGCAAGTTATTTCCTTTCAATGCAATCTTGGTACATATGGCCAGTGCAACCAAGATAATGTCTCCAAAAATGAAACTCTTAAACTTTGTGTGTATTTGCAAATACATATAATAAGGCTTTTATGTTGTTTCTGGAGAAATAACTCCTTCTCTGGCCTTGCAGCATAATAGCACAGGACTCGTGTGACAGGAAAAAATAACACTGTGTAAATATTGAAGCCCACACATGGTATTCTACTTTTGCTCTGACTTAACACCCAAACGTAACAATTTCTGGGATGCTGAATCTCTTTCCATCCATAACAGGATGGGTGGGTGGAGGGTATGCTCACATGTAACTATGTGAACAGATACAGGTAGCACCATCATGAATTGATGTTCCAGATGATGAAACAGAGTTATGGAGGTTCAAAATACTTTTCCCGATAACTTCAGTTAAGTAATAGAGGTGTAAACAACAAGCGTGAAAAATATCAATGACAAAAATTTGCAGCACTACTTCTTTGTGTAAGAACACACTAACCAAGCAGAAGCAAGGTGGCGTGCAGTAAAACACAAAATTAAACAGCCCATCCCCAACCTTTAATCCTTTACATACTTCCTGGATGAAACACAGAAGGATAACATATTGTTGTGGTTTGGCCATAATGGTTTCATTTGGTTCACATTTTGCCCATTTCATTACCCACCACAGACAGCATTCGCCCAATCAGTTGTTTATCTTCGAAGTGTGTAAAGCTGGGATCATGTGTAACCACAAATCCCATCTTGTGATTATATATATATATAAAAAAACTTCACTTAATATGGAATGAAAAGGCTTTAATACAGAGGGAGTTTAATATGTTTGGGAATTGTAGTGAAAACTGTGGTATGTGTACCTTTCAAATATATAATTGTGGTTAAAAATCATTGTGTTTAAGTTGATATTCATGACCAAAAAATTAAATCCACAAATTAAATACTGAAGAAATATCCTCCATAATCATGCATTAACAATATGTAAGCATTGAGAATCTTTTTTTGGAAATTGGTTAATATCAGACCTATATGCCTAAAACTGTTAACCTGACTCCGCCAGATGGATTTGCTCCACATATCCATCTAGGAACCTTCGGTTGCAGTAATTTTGGGAAGGGGCGAAAATACTGGTTAGCTGATTGGCCTATGTTGGTGATAGACGGGCCAAATAAACCAATCAGATCAACGAAGCATATGACGTACTAACAACCAGGCTACTCTTGTCGAAACCAGTCGGGAGAAGAAATACTCTGTAATTCCGAAAAAACTTGCTCGATAGCCACACTAACGCTAGTTTCATCGGCTGAAGCCGCCATATTCTTTAGCCTGAACTGTTGTGCTTCTCGTTGCGTCACACCTCAACCCGCCTCAAAGCCAACGCTGATTGGACGTTCGTTTGGTGAACGGCTCCAAATTTTCTTCAACGGAGAGTCTCCAGACTGATTAGCGAGTGAAATCTTGAAAGCTCGCGAGATCAGGATGGTCTCACGAGGCTATAAAACTGTATTAATATATGTATTTTCTTGAACCCCTTAAGTCCAACCATAAGCCTGTAATATTTATGAAAAATACACGTTAAAGGCTACATAGTCTATTCAAAGAGAGTAAATATTTTGATAGTGTTGTGCACAGATGCATATCCCTGCTCAGTGCTATAATACTAATCTTCAGAACGACTTACTGGATTGCATTATAACTGGTTTTATTTGGTTTTATTTTAGTATTCCTATAGTTATTTCACTAGTTATATCACTGTCTATGTATCAGGTCTCTGTATCAGGTCTTTCTAGTAAATAAGACTTTAAGTCTCCAACGATTTACCTGTATAAATAAAGGGTTATATAAATAAAATGACATGATAGCCTGTATGCTTTCCCTGCATGGCTAACAGCATAGTTCTCATATGAGTTCTTGATTAAATATTTCTCATTGGTCTGTTGCCTGATGATAATGTCTTGGCTGGCTTGTAGGGTCCCGCCTCCTTAATCCAGATTTTCTTCTCTTCTGTTCTTATTACAGGTGGGGGAATCTATAAAATCTCACTGAATTTGGTGGAAGCTGTACCTCACTTGTTGAGTTTGCTACTATCCCTCTGACTGACGGACTGCACTGCAGGGAGAAATATACCCTAGTGCTCCCTATTGGCCAAACATCACTACTTCCATCTATTTGTTGCACCCTGCGAACACTTACTTCAGATGTTTCTTGTCTTGAGACTTTAAGTTTAGATTTAAGCATTAAAATTAAACATACAATTAAAAGGTGTCATTTTTTCAGTCTAATGAATACTTTTTGGCTTGAACTTGGTTTTTTCATTGTTCTTTATTATAAGACATATAAACGTTTTTTTTTTTCTTTTGGCAAAATAATGCTCTTTTGTAAGTCTCCCAGTCAAACAAGGTGTAAAGACATTTTACGGGTAGTTACCTAATCCTAAAATAGTACCATTATGAAAATTACGTTGAATTGAATTATATAATGAGGTCTTTCTACGTGGAGTTTGAATGTTCTTCCTGTGCATGTGTGGGTTCTCTCCGGGTGCCAGCACCAGATAGGAACCAGCACCCCTCGCAGCCCCAGTAGGGATAAGCGTGAAGGAAAATGGATGGATGTATTGATGGATGACTCCTCATTTAAAGACATGTATGATGTGATGATTTGGCAGACTGAAGTTGTATAAAATTATTCTTTAACTGTGATTCGTGGCCGACTTCAATAAGAAGGGAGCATGGTTCGTAAGCGCTGCCTCCTGTAACCCTGAAGCAAATTTTCTGGTCTGAGTAAGATTACAATTTATGTCAAAATCTGTTGTCATGTCTCATTGTTATTACATTATGAAGTGTTATTTATAGAGTTTGTCCCAAGTGATCTCTTCGCAGGAAAGATTTGGGGAGCGAAAGCATCAAGGTGTAAACACAGAGCTTACTTTTTACAGTTTCCTACAGTAGAGGCAAAAAAAAAAAAAAGGAAAATCCAATCCACAAATGAACTAAAGTTCTCTTTAAAAGAAGAGCAATCAAGTTTGCAGAGCAGCTCCAACATGCAATCACCTTAAGCAGAACAACTCATAAATAAATGAATAAATAGATCAATTGTCTGGCAATTCCATAAATAAATATACAGCAAATTCATTGTATATACAGTAGTCGGCTAAAAATAAAGGGAACATGCAAAAAACACAGTATAAATGATTAAATGGAACTGCCCAATTGCAACACCGAT